ATCTGGGCATGGGCTGCTGTGGTTAACTATGAGAATAAAAAGATCACTTAGAGGAAAAAAAAAACCACACATTAAAGAAAAATGCCAACATTCATTTTTAACTCATTGGTTATATACTGAGCAAACTAGAAGTAATCAGAGCAAAGATTTCAAGTCTGAGGGTTGAAAACAAGCAATAGGAAAGGTGGGCCCAGCCTTGGTTTTGAACCCATTGTTTTCAGTTGGGTCAATTATTCAAGTAGAAATTGGGAAAGAGGTTAAAGACGAGAAACAAACTTCCTAAAACCCCATATTTTCTCTGTTATTAAATTAGAACTTCTGATTATGTCGATGTATTACAGGAGTATAACTATAGTCTTGCCCAGAGGTTTCTATAGCATTATTTGAAACTAGCCAAATTTTTATTCAAGATCACTGAGAAATTACAAAAACAGTTATCTGTATTCAAATAAAAGTAACAATGTGAACAGTTGCCTTCTTTTCACAAATAAGATGAAGCAAGGGGATCCTCACAGAAAGTTTTATCTATATTATCTTCTCTCTCTGAAGAAATGCCAGTCCCTAACTGTCTGGATGGATTTTCTGCATCATTTCACATGCTTAGACTTTTCCCAGAAAGAGTCACCAAAAAAAAAAAAAAAAACATGCCCGCTGATGCTTATCTTCAAGTTTTACCTGCAGCACATTTTTATAGCCAATTTTCAGATTCCTAAAATCAAATGGAGATACTGATATAACCGTAAGTGTAACCTGACTAATACAAGTATTTTATAAGGGTCAGTTTTAGCAAATAATTTACACAAATATCTACTGGCCTTAGGTTATTATCCCAAACAACCCAAATTCGCATTTTCTACATTTAAAAGTATTAATTCCCTTCCTAAGGAGTTAATCAGTCTTTAGAGTTAACTTCATTTTCAGGGAGCATTCTTATTTTAAATTTAAGAAATTCCATGTTGATTCAGTTCTCTGGTGCATAGACGATGGTGGGGTTTTTAAGGTATGTTCCTCATTTGGTCCAAGATTTATCTGCTTATCTCCCATTCTCAAATATTTATCCTNTGGTGGGGTTTTTAAGGTATGTTCCTCATTTGGTCCAAGATTTATCTGCTTATCTCCCATTCTCAAATATTTATCCTAATAAACAGATGAAGTGAATTGTGTAACACCAGAAATGATCTTTTTCTACCTAGGTAAGGAGAGTATAGCTGATTAGCTTCAAGTAAAGACACTAACTTTACAATGTCTGGCTTAATCCCCTTCAGAGCCCAGTTGTGTGGAGTGAAGGCTCTACATCACCGAAATAATTCACTAACAGAGAACCAAGATGCATCTTAATGTAAAATAATATACCACCAAGGATTCCAGACACAACCTGCTTTTTTTTTTTTACAACATAATTTAATTTGACTGACATCATCCAAATGAAGGTCTGTTCCTCTTCAGATCATAGTGAAGTCACCTAAGTGTAAGCTGTGTCACTCTAGAGAGCCACTGGGACATCAGAAATGTGTGTGATTCACGCTAAAAGCTACTGAACCACGATCCCTGTTCTTTTCCTATGACACCCTTCTGACCTGCTTTTAAATATGCTTAATATATAAGAAAACTCCCCACAAGAATTATATAGGTGCAAAAATTTGTTCAACAGGTATTATCATGTGAACATTTTATAAATCCTAAAAGGGATTTTCCAAAGTGTTCACCTGGTTGTTGGAAGTGCAAAGACTAACCTTGAATAACTACATGCCTTTCTTTCTTTCTTTCTTTTTTTAACTACATGCCTTTCAAGGGAACGTGGAAAGCAGTCTTTGGAAGCATACTTAAAAACAATAAGGTAAATATGTCCAACTGAAATTAACTGATTAAATTCACTAGCTAACACTGCTTTCAAAATGTGTAATATCTGGGTACTGAATATTACTCATCTTTTTTTTTAGGTATGCTTTTCTTCAACCTGCCCAACACTGCCCTAAAATGTCAACCAAGAGTATAGAACTGGAAATGATATGAGAAAAAATATAGGTAATTTTCTTTAGGTTATCCTTCCCAGAGTTTTCCTTTTGATAATTTCTTTTGTGAAGCAAAGAAATATGGATTCCAAGGGCCCATTTAAATGATCTTTTACAGAAATAAATGGTTGCAGGTAATATATGAGGCTTTCCTTACAAAAGAGCGCCAACTTTGAGCTGTGAAATACAAGAAAGTATTCAATATTAGCCAATAAAACACCTCTGCCTCCTTCCCAAGTACACAGAACTCAAATTTATTTTATACTATACATTAGTGGAGGGCAGGAAACAAATATATTTAAAACACACCCTATGAAAAGAAAGTTTCACAATGAACTACATGCAAAAAGAGTCCTGAATAACAAAGCTATTTCCATGTCCCCAGGGGGTGACCCAGAAAAAAAGAGTGCTTTGACCTGGTTATAACACATTCTCTCTCTCTTGGTAACTTATCCAGGTCTTCAGCAAATTATCACTCTCAAAAGGTTTTCCTTCTACCAATCTAAATCCTAAGTGTTTGAAGTTCAAGTTCATTTCCTTCTTTTGAGGAGCCACTTGTTGAAGATGGGTCAAGAAGGAAAAATTAATGTTGGTATTGAAGAAAAATGACAATACAAAACTAGGTTTATTTGCAGTTTTAAAAACAGCTCTAGTATGAAAGGCTTAAAAACAGCAAGTTATATTTGGATAAGAACCTCTATTTCTTATCTAAACAGCAAAACCAATCTCAATTTAAAACTGAAACAAAGCATTTGCACTATGAGGAGCCTTTGGTAATAAAGGAAATATTTAGTACTTGGATCTGGGGCACTAAAATGTCATGGAAATGTGTATTTCTGCTGTCATAGCATAGCTCACCCACCTGAAACACCTGCAAGCAAACAGACATTATATAAATTCCCAGAAGATCTGCCTATTTATCTGAGTCAAGCTCAATCTCACTATATTTGGTTTGTCTGAACTTTTCTGTGATCTTATCAGTGATTTACAAGAATCTCCTGTGATACAGTAGGCTAGCGTTGCTTCCAATAAAACCCCCAAACTCAGGACTCAAAGCTCAAAAGAAATCCACATTTCCAAAGACTTCTCAAAGGCAATGGAGAAACACTTGAGGATGTTGCTTATATGTTCTTCCAAAATCTCTTCAACTGTACTTTATGTAATTCTACTGCTCATGTTTAACCCTGCTCCATTTTTCTCTCCATTTCTGGTCTTCCCCACCCTATGCCCTAGAGCAAAAGAAAATATTTTTTTATTTCTGATCTCTCCCTATCTCTTTCTCTGTAGACAGTAGGTTTCTAGTCAGTTTCACAGATAGGTTCTTAACAGTACCAAGCTGTGGAGTAGCAAACAGGCAGAGCAACAGAGCAAGTACATACGCTATACTCCTTACAATACAGTTTTGGGGATCATCCTCACCTTAAGCACATCAGCACCCCAGAATAAAGACTGATAAACACGTGCAAAGCATCATGAGACACTGTCATCCCCAGCAGAACCTGGTCACTTCAGAAACAGTTAACTTCTCACACACTACACACTCATGTGAACCAAGGTCAAAAATGTATATCTGTGGATAGAATTCACCCTCAAATGAAACCACTTCTACATTCCTTCTTCTGCCAGAAATACAAGCATTTACAGAAGAAATACAACATTTGAAAGATGTGCATAAATATATTAGACAGAAGGAGGACCCAATATTCAAAGCAAATTTGAAAATTAATCCAGATTCACTGCAAAGATATGTTTGTCAGTTTCTTAACATTTTTAAAAAAGTAAATACTAATCATCTTGAGAGATGATCAGTATTATGAAAGTCACTATTAAGAACTAATGCTCTAGTATATAAGCAAATTGCTCATGAACTCTTTACACAAAGGCATCACACATTGCCCATAAGAAAGACTCCCTCTGAAAATAGATATGGAAAACATGTGTGTGTGTGTGTGTGTGTGTGTGTGTGTGTGTGTGTGTAGTTGGCTTTAACCTGTAATGCTGTGTTTCAGGAAAAAGCCTTATTTCTCAAATCAGATTTTCATAACCTTAGTAACAGGAGCCTTCTGTGCTAAGTTTGATAAGTTTGATGGTGTGCCAGTACAGACCATGGGAGAAGATTCAGTAAAATAAAGTACAGAGACATGAGCTTTCATCAACACATCTGAGTCAATGCTGAGCCTGGTGCGCTACGGCAGAGTGCAACTGAGTGTTTTCCCCACAGGCCGTGGCTGATTACTGACTCCTCCCATTAGCATGTAGGGCGCATACTGAAGGTTCAGAGAGAAGGCTGGGGGACTCCTATCCCAAGGCCAGGCTGAAAGACAGCCTATCACTTCATGTAACTGCAGTCCATGTGTGACAAACCTGACCTACATTTCTCCCTTTCTTTCTCACAAGAGCCTGTCACTGTTTTAAGAAGCTATTTTCTAAAATGCACAAAAGGAATGACTTTTAAGATTGCTTAGGAAATGTACATTCCTAAAATAGCATTTATAGCAATCTGATAAGGAGTATCGTTTATACAACAGATAATCATAAAAACCTAGCCTAATATAAGCTCAGAGACAGCCAAGAGTGCTTTATGATCTTATCCTTTGTATTCTCCTTTAGATTGTCATTTATACAGTAGAAACTCCTAAAAGTACTACAATTAAATTTTTAATCAGTACATAATTAAATTTAATAAAAAGGAAGTTTTTAAACATAAAAAACATAGTCATTAGGAATGTGTAATTAAACATGTTTCATTAGTTATAAAAAGTAGCTTTCACAGCTTCACAAGAAGCCACATCCTAGTAGTTCCGTTAACTTCTCAATGGATACACAATAATCACTACTAAGAATAGGGCATAATTAGAAACGACGACGGGGAGGAGGAGAAAGGAGGCAATAACAACTTGGTGTCAATGCTGCAGCGCGCCCCAGGAGTGGCTGCACGCTGCACTTCAGAGTCGCCAGCGTGCCGGGCTCCTCACCGTAAGTACCTACCGTGTCGCTGCAGGTCATACTCTTTTTTTGTCTCTTCATTCCCTAGAATTTTCCATGCCTGATCAATTTCAATGAACTTCTGTATACATTCCTCCACTGATCCTGCTGGCGCATCTGCACTCTGTTTATCTGGATGATACTGCCAATCAAAAATAAGGGCAAGTGATGAGTGGTGAGGGTTGCGGGTAGGTAGGTTACCAAAACAAACAAACAAACAAACAAAACTAAATCTGAGCAGTATTTAAGAGATGGTAATGAGAAGATGAGAACTAAGATGCCAAGCAATGAGGCTACAGCGATGGGCACAGGAGACAACTGCCAGGTTAATTAGAGCACTGGAGTAGCTATAAATCCACTGGTGACATGATCTGTCACAACGTGCAAAGACAGCATTTTCTGGATAATTTGCTGATGGAATCACTGATCTCATGGACAATTTACCTAGAAAGGATGACTAACACAAACAGAAATAGGTACATGCAGACAAGCAGGACATGGCAGAGAAGAGTGCAAACTCTGCAGAGTATGAAGCTTTCCTCATAAAATGTGCTTGGCTGGAAATATCACCATGCACTACTAGCTTTTCTTTTGAAATCACACAATTATACTTTTAAAATAATAAAACACTTTCACCTTCTGGTTCAGCCCTGAAGATTTTAAAAGTTATAAATCCCCAAACACAAATTTTTCTTGAAAAATGGTTGTTTTAGGCTAAATTTGTAGGAAACAGCTTTGAAGAACTCAACAAAACGTTTGAATACAAATTAAATCATTAGTAAATCTTTCTTACATTTGTTTTCATGCTGAACTTCTCCACACTGCTGATGATCCTCACTAGCAGAGCAAAAGCTACTGTGGTATTTGGTTGCCCAAAAGAACTAGTGAACATCATGCATGCTAGGACAAAGATTATTAGAACAAAGAGATTCAAGTTTCCATTTTTCTTTTGGCTAACTATTTCTCTTCCTCACTCCCTATGTCCAAGTCTATCAGCTATCAAAAATATTTAAGCTAATTAAGATAATGACTAAAGAAAAGGAAGCTAAGGCTTATCACTTCATCTTTTTTAGGCCACGATTTATTAAATGATCCTCATAAAAGTTATTCCCACAATGAAGTTTAATCAATCTTTAAAGTTAGGATATTAAATAATGTACCAAAGCCAAAATAGAGTTGGCTATATTAAGATCTCTAGCAAACCCTTCTTACACTATGTAAAGATGATCTGTATATATACCAAGTCTGGTATGAATCAATGTTATTTCATGCAATATGCTCAGATACACCACTAGCACACATTTAAGACATACTTACATGTGAAATCTCAATCTCAGTATGCCACAAACATTGAGTAAGGCCCTAGAGAAATCCCTTAATCTAGCAGCTGTATCATGTAAGTACAGACTAGAATACATGTAATTTCTAATAGGCCACTAGAAAAACCAACAGTGGTTGGTACAATGAACAGAAAACATTGGACCTAATCACTTACCAACCTGACCAAGAAAGCCTTACAAAAGCAATAATTAATTTCTGCCTGCCCAAAACTAAAAGCTATCACTAAATTTTGAGTCATATATCAGTTCTATGAGAGTCAAAGCACAACTCATTTTCAGTAATTTGGTATTTTCCTGACTACTATTTTAAATAAGTAATTCATGATCTGAAGCTTTTTAGATCTATTCTGTTGTACTAATAGAATGGAATAAATCTTACACTGTGATACAGACAATTAAAAATGACAGTTATAGCAAGAAAATAAGTATGGCATTTAAGAGTGCTAAAGGCCTCAGTCCAGTCTGCTTTGATAGCAAGTTCCAGAACAAAAATGAAGGTCTAATAAAGACAATACATTTTGTGATAACAGCTCCCAAGGATACCAGGTCCTAATCCCTAATTGCTGTATATGTTATCTTATTTGGAAAAGGGGTCTTTGCAGATGTGATTAAGTTAAACATTAGGGTTATCCTGAACTGCCCAGGTGGGTCCTAAGCATAATCAAAGTGTTTCTGTAAGAAAGAGGCAGAGGGAGATTTGACGCACAGAGAGAAAGGGAAAGGTAGTATGAAGACTGTGCAGAGAAAACCTTTAAATACTGGCATTAAAGACTAGAGTGATGAGGCCACAAGTGGTCACCAAATGCTAAGAGAGGCAAGGAACAGACTCTCCCTCTAGAGATTCTAGAGGGACGGTGGCCCTGCCAGCACCTTGCCTGTGCCCCAATTACACTGATTTTGGACTTTTAGCCTCCAGAATTATGAAACAATAAATTTATGCTGTTTTATTTTTTATAAGTTACTTCTTTATTGAAGGATAACTGCTTTACAGAATTCTGTTTTCTGTCAAACCTCAACATGAATCAGCCATGGGTGTACACATGTCCCCTCTCCTGAACCTCCCTCCCATCCCCGGCCCTATAGACTGATACAGAGCCCTTGTTTGAGTTTCTGGAGCCATACAGAAAATTCCCGCTGGCTATCTATTTTACTATGGCGGTGTAAGTTTCCATACATCTCACCCTCTCCTCCCCTCTCCCCACGTCCATAAGTCTATTCTCTATGTGTTTCTCCACTGCTGCCCTGTAAACAAATTCTTCAGTACCATTTTTCTAGATTCCGTATATATGTGTTAGAATACGATATTTATCTTTCTCTTTCTGATTCACTTCACTCTATATAATAGGTTCTAGGTTCATCCACCTCATCAGAACTGACTCAAATGCATTCCTTTTTATGGCTGAGTAATATTCCATTGTGGATATGTACCATATCTTCTTTATCCATTCATCTGTCCATAGACATCTAAGTTGCTTCCATGTTCTAGCTATTGTAAATAGTGCTGCAATGAACAATGGTATACATGTGTCTTTTTCAATTTTAGTTTCCTCAGGGTATATGCCTAGGAGTGGGATTGCTGGGTCATATGGTGGTTTTATTCCTAGTTTTTAAGGAATCTCCATACCGTCTTCCATAGTGGCTGTATCAATTTACATTCCCACCAACAGTGCAAGAGCATTCCCTTTTCTCCACACCCTCTCCAGCATTTATTGTTTGTAGATTTTTTGATGAGGGCCATTCTGACGGGTGTGAGGTGATAGCTCATTCTAGTTTTGATTTGCATTTCTCTAGTAATGAGCAATGTTGAGCATCTTTTCATGTGTTTGTTAGCCATCTGTATGTCTTCTTTGGAGAAATGTCTGTTTAGTTCTTTTTCCCACTTTTTGATTGGGTTATTTGTTTTTCTAGCATTGAGTTGTATGAGTTGCTTGTATATTTTGGAAATTAATCCTTTGTTGTTTCATTTGCTATTATTTTCTCCCATTCTGAGGGTTGTCTTTTCACCTTGCTTATAGTTTCCGTTGCTGTGCAGAAGTTTTTAAAGTTTAATCAAGTTCCACTTGTTTACTTTTGTTTTTATTTCCATTACTCTAGGAGGTGGGTCATAGAGGATGTTGCTTTGATTTATGTCATTGAGTGTTCTGCCTATGTTTTCCTCTAATAATTTTATAGTTTCTGGTCTTACATTTAGGTCTTTAATCCATTTTGAGTTTATCTTTGTGTGTGGTGTTAGGACATATTCTAATTTCATTATTTTACATGTAGCTGTCCAGTTTTCCCAGCACCATTTTTTGAAGAAGCCGTCTTTGCCCGATTGTATATTCTNATGCTTGCTGTGGGTTTGTCATATATAGCTTTTATTATGTTGAGGTATGTTCCTTCTATTCCTGCTTTCTGGAGAGTTTTAATCATAAATGGATGTTGAATTTTGTCAAAGGCTTCTTCTGCATCTATTGAGATAGTCATATGGTTTTTATCTTTCAATGTGTTAATGTGGTGTATTACACTGATTGATTTGTGGATATTAAAGAATCCTTGCATTCCTGGGATAAAGCCCATTTGGTCATGATGTATGATCTTTTTAATATGTTGGTGGATTCTGTTTGCTATAATTTTGTTAAGGATTTTTGCATCTATGTTCATCAGTGATATTGGCCTGTAGTTTTCTTTATGTGTGCTGTCTTTGTCTGGTTTTGGTATCAGGGTGATGGTGGCCTTGTAGAATGAGTTTGGAAGTGTTCCTTCCTCTGCAATTTTTTGAAAGAGTTTTAGAAGGATAGGCATTAGCTCTTTAAATGTTTGATAGAATTCTCCTGTGAAGCCATCTGGTCCTGGGCTTTTGTTTTTCGGCAGATTTTTGATCACAGCGTCAATTTCAGTACTTGTAATTGGGTTGTTCATAATTACAATTTCTTCCTGGTTCGGTCTTGTAAGATTGAACTTTTCTAAAAATCTGTCCATTTCTTCCAGGTTATCCATTTTACTGCCATGTAGTTGTTCATACAGGCTCTTATAATCTCTTGTATTTCTGCATTGTCTGTTGTAACCTCGCCTTTTTCATTTCTAATTTTGCTGATTTGATTCTTCTTTTTTTCTTGATGAATCTGGCTAAAGGCTTGTCAATTTTGTTTATCTTCTCAAAGAACCAGCTTTTAGTTTTATTAATCTTTACTAGTGTTTGTTTCATTTCTTTTTCATTTATTTCTGCTCAGATCTTTATGATTTCTTTCCTTCTACTAATTTTGGTTTATTTTTTGTTCTTCTTTTTCCAGTTATTGTAGGTGTAAAGTTAGGTTGTCTATTCTATGTTTTTCTTATTTCTTGAGGGAGGATGGTATTGCTATGAACTTCCCTCTGAGTACTGCTTTTGCTGCATCCCAGAAGTTTTGAGTTGTCATGTTTTCATTGTCATTTGTTTCTAGAAAATTTTTTATTTCCCTTTTGACTTCTTCAGTAACCTGTTGGTTATTTAGAAACATGTTTAATGTCCATGTGCTTGTGTTTCTTACAATTTTTTTCCTTGTAATAGATATCTAGTCTAATAGTGTTGTGGTCAGAGAAGATGCCTGATACAATTTCAATTTTCTTAAATTTACTGAAGTTTGATTTGTGACCCAAGATGTGGTCTACCCGGAGAATGTTCCATGTGCACTGGAGAAGAAGGTTTATTCTTCTGCATTTGGATAGAATGTCCAGAAGATATCAATGAGATCCATCCCATCTAATGTGTCATTTAAGACCTATGTTTCCTTATTTTCTCTTTTGATGATCTGTCCATTGGTGTGAGTGGGGTGTTGAAGTC